AGAGATTTACTGCCGAGTCTCTGGGCCCTTCATCATTTCCAAATAAGAAAGTGAATGGGGCATTTAGAGCTCTGGGTTCTTTTTTCCTCTCCCAGCTCCATGGCACTACGGTCCAGGGAGCAATCTCTGAGGATGTTCTTTTGGCGTTTATAGAGATACATCACATAACATTCTCAATCCTTCTTTCCAAATCATCCTAAAAGTGTTTAACTTCTAAATGATTGGATATCTAACATTCTGAAGCAGTCCGTTGTCCCCAAAGTAATTCTTTTTAAAACTGTTAATGTTCCAATTTATCAGTTTCACTCTTTAAAGATATTGCCCACGTATAAGAATTATATCACAGAATTGAGAGAAGTTACTTAGAAAATAACCAAATGTACATGAACAATGAAGATTTCAAAGCAACTCAGGAAAAGCATTGGTTTTCTGGATCCTCTTGGGAGTTGGGGGCATTAAAAATTCCTTCCAGAACTCCTTCTGCTTTTTCCTTGTCTTATCAACAGACCTGGTGCTACACTCTTTTATGTGTTGTTTGTAGACTTACTCTTGTTTGTGGACAATTCTTGGTCTGTACTGAACAAGTATCAATTCATAGGGAAGGTGGAAGTCTTAAAACCCTAAGTTTCTACTGGCTTCTTCCTTCTCTCAGCATGTTGGAGTACTCCTCATGCACGTCCTTTCTGTCCAGATGTTCCATTTCTCTGTCTGTCTCATTGTCGGCACAGCGCTGGGCAAGGAAGGGCCAGAAACAAATTGGTCTGAGAAGAATCAATTGTTCAGATGGCTGAAAAGTCGGGCTTTTAGCACTTAGCCAGAATCCAAATTAATAGAGGGTGGAGCTGATCATCTGTGTGTTGCTCCTGTCACATGATCTGTGGCTTAAACCAAAAATCAGCCCACTGTCATCTAGTCGCTCCCAACCCTGCATAGGTTTCTGAGAGTGAGCATCTTTACTGGAATAAAAGGCTTCATCTTGCCAGCAGAGCAGCTAGTGGGTTTGAACTGCTGGCCTGTTGCTTGCAGCCCAGCCAGCCAGGGTTCCTTCCCCTGAGACCTTAGTGTAACTGAATATCCAATTTCCAAAGCAATTAACTTGAATGTCCCTCGCCAAAATGGGTAGTGAGCTTGGTGGTGAGGGTATTGGAAGGGAAACACCAGATCTTTAAATAGTAAGCAGGTATAACATTGTGACAATTCTAAAGACCAGCATCTTAAAATACCTTCCCAAACCAGTGCCACCAACTAAAAAATATCAGCAACATTGAAGGAGGCAACTGAAAAGAAGATGACCCATCAGACAGTTTTCCCCAGCCCCCCGCTTTGGAGCCCACTGTAAATATTTGCACAATTTATGCATCTGAAGAGTCCATGGATAGTGCAGTTAACTCATTCCGTGTGGATTTTCTTTAGACATTATTATTTTTAATAAAAGTCACTGCATTATCTTTCTTTCATTTAAATTGAGGTTGAGTGTTTGTCTTACATAGGGAGATGCTGAATTCCTGGCTATAAAGCCTACACAGAAAGTTAACTAAATGCACAATAATTAACTTCAAAGTTTGGTGATTTTCTACGATACATCGTCTCTCTCAACTTTTAGAGTAGAGACCTAAGCTAGCATTCTCTATTATCTATTTTAATATTATCAAAAGTCTTACACAAGATTAATCACTGATGCCCAAACGGAGGCTTGCAGGAACCAGGGGCCTGCTCCAGGGCCGTTCCACCAGGAGAAGGTGGAGGAGGGAAGAGTCACAGGCGGCAGTCTGAGCTTTTGACCCGGAGGGCCTCGTGTGTAAATCTACTTCAGCCTCACCCCCATAAAGGATGGCATTCTTGGAATAGCTGCTCTGCGAGGACACACTGGGCTTCTCCAGGAGAGACAACAGCAAGGGCTACGGTGCCTCTGGATGCTGCTTCATGACCTAGAAAGCCCTACCCCTTCCCTCCCCACCCCAACATGTTTTCCTTATAATTAAAAGTAAAGAACGAAGTGATTTCTAGAATTCCTTCAGAGCATCTTTCCTAACCTTTCAAAGATCATTTTTAGAGCAGTACCAAGCTAACAGGAGAATGCAGCGGCGGTCACACGGGGTGTTACTGGGACTCCCTGACCATGCTCATGAGGGCCAGGCCAGGGACTGGCCAGTCTGCAGTAAAGCACGACCCAGGGGCTTGGATAAGCGTGGGCAGTAAAAAAAAAATTTTTTTTTAAGATTAATCAAGAGTCCTTGATGCAGGATACCATTTCCGAAGGCAGCTGGATTTTTGTGTTATTCTTTTCATTATCTTTACTGTTTGACAATGACGCTCAGAGAATTCCGATGGAAGCATGTGCCTGTGGGCCTGAGGACTCTGGGGCTGCGGGCTAGGCCATTCCTGAGACCAGCTCTAGCGGAGGATGCCTCTTTAGGCTCACAGGGGCCCAGGCAAAATGCTCTGCTCACTTGTTTTGCTTTGCTTTGTTTTATTTCTGAAAAAAAACATTAAAGTCTACAAGACAGAGTTGTTCGCATCTATAAACCATTCTCCTGTGTATTTGTGCTTTTTGCTCTTTAGCTTGGCTTGGGCTCCCTTAATCCATGCTTCACCGTGGGTTTGGCTTTACCAACGTGTGGCAATCCCATGTGAGCAGAGCAGGACTTTCGACAGGGTTTGCCTTCTAGAAGCAGGCCACCAGGCACCTCTCAACACAAGCAGACGAGACGGCCTCGCTGCCATGCAGCGGATGATGATTGCCGGGAACCCTGTGGGATCCCAGAACTGCCCCTGTGGCTTCACAAGGCTGTCAATCATGGCGGAAGCAGAGGGCCTCTTCTTTCTCCTATGACGGATAGTGGGCTTGAAATGCTGGCTTTGGGGTTCGCAGCCCAATGAGTAACTCATTGCACCACCAGGGTGCTTCTCAATCATTCACTTCCATCCAGTTGATTTTGACTCATAGAGACCCTGTAGGATGGTCAGACTGCCCCTTTGGAGTCCCAAGACTTTTAATCTTTGTGGGAGTAGATAGCCTCATCTTTTTTACAAGGCTTCTCTTAAAAACTAAAAACTCAATGCCATAGTGTGGTGAGGTAGTGCCAACCTGGCCGATAAACACAAGTGGGGTTAATTGAAGGGTGGAGGGATAAATGGCTTGGTGAGCCTCACCTTTCTAGTTCTTGGGTCTCTTGCTTTATGATGGTCAAACCAGGGTGCAGAAGCCTTAGCCAGTTCCCTGCTTCAGCTGGCAAGGCTCACTTCCTGCAAGACATCCCTGAGGAGAAGCCACATGAACCTACCCCAATGCAGCCCTGGGTGCTGGAGCAGCCATGTGGAGACCCCTGCCAGCCCTGAGATGCTTACACATTCACTGATTTGGCTTTCTTCCTGCAGGCGGCATCATAGTGTGTGTTTTGTGAGCTGGAGGAGGACTTTTTGGATTGGTGTCACACACATGGGCTAATGTTGGACTTGTGGGCTTGGGCAGCACTGGGTTGAGATGTTTTGTTTTCTTGATGTGCATTTACCCTTTATATAAAACTCTCTCTCATACATATGAGTTTCTGTGGATTTGTTTCTCTAATGGATCCAGACTAGCAAC